ACAACCCATTTCCACTGTGATGCACAAGTTTCAAAAGCTCTCTTTTTATCCATCTACACAGAGAACAGTTGCCATTCAATCATTTAATATAATCATTTTTACATTTGAAAATCCCACAGACTGTCTTAGACTCATTTTACTAAAACATTGCCATTTTTCAGTGCTCATAACCATAAGCTTCCTCATTTTGGCAGCATTGTGCAGTAACTGCCCTTTCAAAGTTCAACAAGATCAGAGATTAATGTTTTGCTTTTTATGGTTATAGTTTTCATTTGTCCCATCTAGGGTATTCAGAACCATAGGGCAAAATAACTATAGCAAACAGAACCAGTAAAAACATTTATAATTCCATGAACATGGCCTAGTTTTGCAAAAATAATACGATGAAATTGAAAGGACAAAGAATTATTCAAATATTAAATCTTATTTACCAAGAAACCAATTTGATATACACTTGATTTAACCATAGTGAAATGAAGTGTCTGTCTTTTCAATCTTTAGGTAAGGTTTACACACACAAGTTTTAGTTCAGGACGAGGTTAAAAAAAAAAGGGAAGTAGGTAGAAGGGAGAGATAGAGACAGGGAGAAAAATAGAGAAAGGGCAAACGTGGCAAATGTCAGACAGAATTTAAATGCAAAATACATAAGGTGTTGTAACACATCTAACTATCCACTGAAGCCCTGCAAAACAAGCATTTGTAAAACATCCCAATTAGTGAGAATTTTTTTTTGGAAAAAAAATATTTTAAGGCTGCACCTCGCACTGTATGCTCAGCTAGTTGGTTCTTGGTTAAAACTTTCTACCATTTTGTTTGTTACAATAATGTTACAGTCCATTTGTTGGCAACTGGTAATCAGGAAACTTTCCCTCTTTGCGTAAGCCTTCTTTAAGACAGAACTTAGCAAATCAGTACTGGTTATTTTCAAAAGCTTTTGTACTGGCTGTGCTGTCATTTCTCTTAAGGTTGAAAAAAGATACCCAGAGTTACAGCCATTTCCCACCCAAGATAGTCATATAATCAAGCAGACTTGGTGTATCACCAGCATTTATAAAGCCAGACTTAGGGAAAGAACTAGATCTGGGGACACGGGCATTGTCTTCCTGTAGTGAATGTCTTGCCTGCCTTGGCTGTCATGATATCAAGACATGGAGAAGGATATTTACAGTGTGTTCTGTTTTTGTCTTTGTGTTTAAGTTATAAAATCAATAGTTGGAACTGACTATTCAGAGACTGTTGCAGCAAGCCTATGGCCAGATTCTTTAGATTATTTTAATGTTCAGATTCAAAAGTAAAATACAGCCCAGACCACATTAGAGAGCTACCTGGCTTACAAATAACTAGAGAATTTTTCTGGCTTGCAGTTCCAGCTCATGACCAGAGATGGCGCTGAGTGTACAGGGAACCTACAGCAAACCTGAATCGGAAATTGGAAGGAAATAGGACCAACGTCTGTGAGCATGAATCATCAATTAACCTCACCAGCACAACATCTAAGATAGTGAGTCTGGAGGAAGAGAAAGAAAAGCATAAAGAACAAATGAAGAAGATTTCCATTAGGGGAGTCTCGCATTAGCAGGGAGATAAGAAATGAAAATCTCTGCAGGTTAATATGGGAGAAGCACAAACTGTGTGAGGCATCAGGCATACAGATCAAAACAACCAGAGAACTGAGGCGTCAATGCATTTTCTTAGATTAACTCAACCTTTAAAGAATTAACAAAAAATAT